ATGTATTCCTTCTCTTTTTGGGTTCTTTTAAGTATTCCCCGTTTAATTTTTGATTTAAAGTATTTAAATTTAATTATTAATTTTTTAAAAAAATTTCATTTAATGTATTTATACTTATTGTATTTTTATTTTTTAAAAATGATTATAATATATATTAAATAAAAAAATTATTTAACTAATAATTAATTATAAATATAAAATTTAATTAATTAATTATTACAATTTTGTTTTATTAAAAAAAAACTAAACCTATTATTAAGTTGTATGGAAGAAGTAATTTTTTATTTTTCTTACATGGAGATAAATTTTTATTTTAAAAAAATCAGAAATTAAAGACAAATGCTTGGTGTGTGTCTGTTAGCCGGATTCTCCTGTACATGATTCATTTGCATGGGCCTCGATACTGAACTGGTATAGTGAGCTTAAGCGGTGTATACAAAATTTGTCCCTAGGATATGAGTTTTTGATTTCTCTGTATTAATTTTTTTTTATATTTGCATTTATCTCACTCCATCCGTATGTGATACGATTTAAACTCAAAATTTTATATTTTCAATAAAAAAAAATAATTATTGAATTATTTAGATCGTTGACTATTCTATAGTAATTTTAATTGTATAATAAGAATAATTTTTTTATCTAATTATTTTTTCACTTACTCACTTGGGTGTAATTATTGCAATTATAAAAAAATGTTAAGATTATTGAAATTTTTAATTTTTTTAATAGTATCTAAAAATATTAATTTATTGATTGATCTTAATTTATTAATTAATAAACATCAATTATTTTATTAGTTATTAATTAATAATTAAAATTATTGACTATTTTTATTAATTAAATTAAATAAAATTAAAATTTTTATAATAATATTTTATAATTTTAATGCTCAAACATTCTTAGTGGTTGCCATAACCGTTTCCTACCCACTCCCCCCACTTTATATAGTTTGTTATGATATGATTTGGTTTAGTAGTAAATATTGGGTGGTCTATCATTTTATTAAACCTTGATATTATGGATAGCCTTAGGGATTTCATTCAACATCAAGCAGTTAAACAACAATTCCTTTGGAAGTCAAACTGCTCTGAAGTGGTGGAAAAAGCATTATACGTTGAATATTATTATATAAAAAATTAATAAATTTTATAATGAAATTTAGTTATAATTTTATTAAGTTGTTAATTCTTTTATATTTAATAAGAAATTACCATAAAAAATGTTCATAAGCAAGTTATCAAATAGGTTCAATATAGAGAAAGTTAGGGAGAAAAACTTTTGTTTACTAATTGAGAAT